ATTTCGTATCCCGACGCTGCCACCACGCCAGTAATGATACAAACACCGGTGAACGATAAGAAACAGCTTTATTGAAAAGCAACAACAATGGCGGAAGACACCCGTCATGCACAGCGCTACTAAAGGAGCGCACACATATATAAATACAAGCCGCTGGTGAACTATAAATACTAGCCACTGGCGCTGATCTATGTAACCATGGTATTCGAAACAGTGATACGATGATGGAAGGGACAATAACAAGTCTCGTAGCTTTCTTCTTCTCGGCGAGATCTCGCCGGTCATTTTCAAATAAGATCTATTGTCCACATGTTGTTTTATGTTACCTCTTGGAGATAGGAATATATATGTAAATGAATCACCAATAGATAATGGATCTGGACCATTATGAAAATTCTATGCATGTTATTTGATAGATAAAATAATTATATCGTTACAGGTGTTGTGAGCATCTATCCCACTTCTGGATCCATGCTAGGAGGGGAGAGTGTTCAGGTGCATGGTCCATGTCTTAACAATATTGATCGTTTGAGGTGCAAGTTTGGTGACTATGAAACAAGGGGGACATTGGTAGCATCAAAAGTAATGTGTAACACTCCGATATTTTACGAAGCTGGTAGAGTGGAATTTCGTCTTTCACTGGATGATGGAGATACTTATGATGACTACAGGGGGATTTTCACAGTTGGTACGTTTATGTAAAATGTGAGCATATATGATGTTGGTAACCAAGGTGTAAATGTTATTAAATAATAATTGACCTGTTAGGCTAACAATGATTTTGATTACATATGTACTGCGGTATTCATTGTTACAACCTTGCTCAATAATTTTGGTATTGACTGCAAAAATATGCAAATGAGAAAAAAGTCCCTTCTAAAGGTAATTTTTTTGGACGTTGATGCACAACTTGATTTGCCTCGGTGCATTTCACGACTTAGCCTATATTGTTTAATTTATAGTTATGCATATTTAAATAATACAAGTAGCAAACAAGATTATCAAGATCCATGAACTAACTATGGAAATTAGTCACGTGTCCATATTTAATAATTTCGGTATTTTAACCAAATCAACCGCCTTCAGAGCATCAAGATTTTTTAAAAATGCCCCTGGCAATGGCACGTACTCTCTAGATGTCGAGTTGCGGTCGGGATGGATGTGTCATTCATTCTTTGATATCAATGTTAAAATGTACACAAAGACGCCATATGTCTCAGGAAATATCCAAAGATTGTATAGCTTCGCTCATGGAAATACAACCGCCAAATACACTGCATTAATATATAAACGTGTTCTGCCATACAACTATTCAATTCAGCGCCACAAAACAAACGACTGACGAACCACAAATATAATTAAAGCAAACAGTTGACACCCGATAGTCAAATACACTACACAACACCTATATTGTTCATATTCCTTAGCAAAATATTCAATGCACAATTGGTTATGTACACTTTGTGTTTTATATTTGTCTTTTGAAGTAAGTCCAGAATATGTAGAACCATCGATACAACGGATCAATTCACCAAACTGGCATTTATCACATGAAACAGATGTGACGATTACGTGGGACATGACCAGCATTGAAGCCATTCAATTACATGTTTTTATCTTTGGTTATGTGGAGAATGGTGGATCTGTATCATTAGAAATGGCTGAGAGGATTACAGCAACACCCATTGACAACACGGGTTCATATACATTCGCAAAACAGCAACAACAATACGCTGATTTCCACATTGGCGCTATTCGTATAGTTGATGCCAATTCCTCACTAAGTGGGTACGTATGTTATATAAATGGATTCATTATGAAGGCTGAGTCTCAGGCACAACGAATGAATCATATATGTATATATTATCATATTTACAGGTACCCTAGATCATTATGGAGTGACATCCACAACCTACAGTGGAAGTATGAAGCGGAATCAGTGCAGTTCTGCAGAGAATGGCTATCTTCTCCCAATGAACAAGATACATCATTCTTAGATGACCTGTTACCTTGTCCGTGTACACGTCAGCAAGCACGAGTCGACATAGGTCGATATGAACCACATCCGCGATGCAATGATGATTCTTCAGATATCATAAACTGTCATTTAAAACCAGCAGCTGTACACTGCATTAGAGTTAATGAACCAAGGTTAGTTGGCCTCAATTTGGATAAATTATAGATTGAATTTGTACTCTATGCTTTCTATGCTAGAATTTCATATTACATGTATGCGTTTGTTTCATTAAAAAGTGGGAATGGAGCTGGTCAGGAATGCTGTTATAACAACGATGGTAATTTGGTTGATGGTTCAGATGGCAATAGTGGAGGAACATCACATCGATATCACCATGGTGGAGTTTCTCCATACAAATCACCGGGAAAAGTCCCGTATTTGTCCCATTACCTAGCAGATTTGTTGCCCTGGGAACACTGCTGTTTGTATCAGCAGTCAGACACTATGTGTTTTGATTATTATGACAAGAGGCCATCTGATGGATGCCAGCAGTACCAGCCACCAAGACCAAGTAAGAAAGACTATATGAACTAGACATATGTCATACCACCGCATTTCAATTATCATTCTAATGTATTCAAACTATAATCTGTGTATCCTATTATCATATGCAGGTGGGGGGATTGGAGATCCCCATATTCATACTCTAGATGGTACACCTTATACGTTTAATGGCCAGGGCGAATTTTCTCTGATGAAGACGACTGGTAATTCATTCAGTATGCAAGGGCGTATGCAGCCATTAACAGCAGGTGAGCGAATGTGCATGAATAGCCGTGCAGTATTTCACAAGCATTTGTATTACCCTTTTATATCATATACACACATAAAACACACTAGTATTTATTAGATTCTCAGGCAACGGTTTTCACAGCAGTTGTAATGAAGGCAGCCTCCACCGATACGGTGCAAATTGAAGTCAACAATAGAGGTGATCTGGTTGCATGGATCGCTTCACTATCGGATGGAAGTTGGAAAACAGTGAATTTCGAAGAACGTGGTTCATGGCCGTTTACAGGTATGGTTTAATATATCATATGGTGTGTTTCGCTGTTTTCAACATCCTCTTTACGGACATAAAGACATGCAGTATACAGAATTCAAACTGATGCTCCTGGCAAAGCACCCCAATATTCTAAAAAGACAATTAGAAATAGCATTGGTATATGCAAGCCGAATCTGTGAAGTGTATTAATGGTCAGCGAGAACTCACTGCAATATTCTAGGGTGCATTAAATCGTTTATTTTGAGTGGCAAAGAAACTAAATATTTGTATTAACATTATCAATAAATACTAAAGATTTTGATGCGATTCTCCTTTTAATTTGTATTTGTTAGGTGTCACCGTGACCAAAGACCAATTACCAGAGACTGAATCCATCACAATCACTGCAGTATTCGTGACATCTGGTATTTCTGTGCAGTTCACAGCTAGTAGTGGCATAATGATGATGTCATTCGTACTGATTGCTCCACAAACATTGATGTCCAACACACAGGGTCTCCTTGGAACTTGGAATAATGACCCAGACGATGATTTCACCAGGCCTGATGGAGTATACATATCAACAACCCTATCACTCCATGACATTCATTATCATTTTGGGATGCATTGTAAGTATGTTAGTCCTTCAGCGTGGAGTTGATATTGTGACATAAATTGTAAGTTAAAAGTACAGAGCCCTGGCTGTGTGAATGAAAAGCGCACATGTTTGTATAATTTGCAACAACCCATTGCACATGTTTATTTTTAAGACTGCTGATACAGTCACTGGATTGTGTTGTCTCTCCCTGTGGCATAATGGTATGGCTCAGACAGTGACATGGTGATTGTGAAATACCTTGGAATGTGCTGAACCCAGTGTTGTTGGCAATGAAAATAGATATGACATCATTGACCCGAGTCTCCTACTTTAAATTGGTAGAGCTTGGATTAAGAGTGGTTTATTCCACTACCAAAATTGGCATCCTCTGTACACTGATTTGTCGGCTATTTCGAGATAACCAATCATTTCGTTATATACATTTTATTATTTGCATGGCCATAAATTAGCTAGGGTATTTAAGTTGAGACATAAGGGAAAATCTTTAGTCAGGAAGGTGACCTGACTTGATCCTGTAACATCTTGTGATGCTGATTCCTGACTCCATTGAGCTGTACCCT